AGAAAGATATACTTAAGGAGAACCAGCAACAGTAACATCGCGTGTCAAAGAATTGACCGCGTTGGCATCCCATCGGCGACTTCGGTCTAATTGAGTGAAGATGGCAAATTTAAGCCTAAGGAGGCAAAAGCTGTCGACTTCACATAGCACTAAATTCAATTATATTTAACCCACTATAAATATATCCAGAGGTGGGCAGCAGCGCGCTACATGTAGCGGCCGCTACTAGCGACCGCTACATTTTTAGTAGCGGTAGCGGTAGCGGCGCGACATTTAAGCAATTATAGCGGTAGCAGTAGCGCCCGCTACATATTTAAGTAGCGATACGAGGTTTTGCCGCTACAGCGCTACCGCTACATTTATAGATATAGCCTTGAGATTTTGATTATTTAAAAACCAGCATGATACACACATAATATAAATTACAGAATAAAACTGTACGAAAGATTTCGGTGTAATGTTGTCAACCTCAGCCTGTTACTAGGCTCAACATGTTAGTTGTTACCAGAGGTGGGCAGTAGCGCGCCACATGTAGCGGTAGCGGCGCTACATTTAAGCAATTATAGCGGTAGCGGTAGCGCCCGCTACATTTAGAGCACGTAGCGGTAGCGGTAGCAGCCGCTACATTTCAAAGTAGCGCTGCCCAGCTCTGAATATTTCCCAAAACGCAGCACGGACTCACGTATGAGGATATATTGGGGTATGCATCTAAATTTGACGATATTATATTTGAGTAGCGATTACAGTTATAGTAACGATTTGAGCAGTAAAAGATGTGATGAATTGAAACTCGAATGCGTTAATTTAGTCAGGTCTCATTATGGTATTTAAACATGAGGCCATTAACGTAACTTTGGCATGGCAAGGCTGAAAACAACGTACGTATATCAATAGCCTATAGGCGCTCAATATTACTGAAACAAATTCGTCTTATTTGCTCAGATCCCAAAACTATATGAAATTATTACAAATTGATTATCATGCTATCGTTTTTGGCTTGTACGTTGTAATAGACTCAGGCTCCCAACTGGAATACTGTATATTTGCTTTTTAAAAGACTAACTTTGATACAATTCCTTCAACGATGCTTCGAATCTGGATAAGGCCAGGAACATTAACCTTTCCTAAAACCTTCACTTTGTCTAGATGGCTGACATCTGACCTTAAACCTGCAGAAAATCACGAGCAACAGAAATATTGTCCCATATTGCACAAACACAAACTAAATGTCCTATTTTCTGCGAACGCGTCTCAAGAGAACACGAGTCTATTTTTAGTACTGGAATCATGAAATGTAACCCGAGTAATAAATCAAATAGGTTTAATCGATCAAACGTTTAAACATTATTACCGATCGCTCATTAGTTGTTTCTCACATTAGTAGTTTATCAAGCCAACAATCAACCCAAAGTTAATCACAAATCCATCACAAAAAATTATGCATTAGGCGTGATTAAATTGCTTTATTTACAATTACACCGCTACCCTAACAAAATTTAGAGTTGCCCCAGCTTCTGGTTATCCAAATCAGAAGCTGACGCGTCTGTAAATTTTCACTGGGAAGAACTCCTACCCTAACAAAATTTAGAGTTGCCCCAGCTTCTGGTAATCCAAATCAGAAGCTGCCGCGTCTGTAAATTTTCACTGGGAAGAACTCCTACCCTAACAAAATTTAGAGTTGCCCCAGCTTCTGGTTATCCAAATCAGAAGCTGCTGCGACTGTAAATTTTCACTGGGTACCCGATGATACACTCAATATTGCGCTTCTGATACAATCGGTATTGGGTGCAAAAAGCGGTAGCATGCAGCGCTGCAATGTCTTGTATCGACGAGCCAATGATTGGTTCGTTGCGTGAGATTTGGCGCAACTCAGAACGAGCGAGCGGCTCTGAAGGAATTAACCTGAAAAGATTTCATGGCCAGTTTGTGATGAGTCGTCGGAGAGATCGCACGTGGCATGGCAATTTTACGGCATGCTGTTAATTTGGTCGTTTTGATCGGCATATTCACTGGCAACTTTCGACTTCATTGCGGTGAGAATATAGTATGATAATTGCTTAGTTTGAGCCTTGCTCTTGCATAATAAAGTGCTGAGCCTATAACGCCTTCTAGGATCCATTGCAGCGTCGGAACACTGCCTAGTACTATATACATTTTCGGAACATGGATATAGTATTATATAGCAGTATATTTTATATTATATATTACTAGTACTATCCCTAGTACAGAATATATTTTCTAGTCTTAAGTTGTCATGCACTATAGTTGTTCTCGAACTAGGCTTCGCTTTCGTGGCCATAAAGTAAATGCAACCATGAATTTTGTCTTTAAGTCACAGAAGTGCTTATTAATTAACACAAGATAATTTGGGCACGATTTACAATAGTGTCCAAGTGTAAAAATTAGTGCGTTGAATTCAAACAGTATAAAAACTGTTATATTTCTGCTTATGTGTAGTGCTTAAGTAGGCCCTGGTGGCGCGCATACTGTTCTGAACTTCAAACTGGTGCGTGGTCTCAAAGTGTTTGAGAAACCTTCTCCTAAAAAACCTTAGCAAGCCTTCGGTGTGTCCCAAGTCTACGGATTTTAAAACAAATATTTTATTTACTATTTTTGCTCTGATTTTACTCAGTTCAAACGAAATATTGCATTATCTTTTAATCGTGAAATTTATCAAAACGAAGCGTGAAATTGGGGTTCAATTTTCCATAAACTATACGAGTTTAATGAAACGTTTAGATAGGACATGATTAGAATTACATTGCCGGTGAGCGCGCGCAAGAAAGAGAATATTTAATCAAACTCAGCACAAGAAAATTTTTTCATCAACCTAATCAGACGTGTTTGTATAATAAGTGACGTATCAATTTAGGAGAAAAAGATGAATTAATATGTTATAATCGAGTGTATCTACCTAATCTCAGAACAATTTCCACGGAAGGTATGGGTGAACATTATCACTAAGCTTTATTACTATTTCCAGGAACTTGTATAAGTTCCGTGTTTGTATAACGTGTTTATATAATAAGTGACGTATCAATTTAGGAGAAAAAATGAATTAATATGTTATAATTGAGTGTATATTCCTAATTTCAGAACAATTTTCACGGAAGATATGGATGAACATTATAACTAAGCTTTATTACTATATTTCCAGGAACTTGTATAAGTTCCGTGTTTGTATAACCTGTTTATATAATAAGTGACGTATCAATTTAAGAGAAAAACATGAATTAATATGTAATAATCGAGTGTATATAACTAATCTAAGAACAATTCCCTCGGAAAGTATGGGTGAACATTATCACTAAACATCATTACTATTTCCAGGAACGTCTTCGCAGGTTGGCGGCGTTACACGACGATTACCGTCGCAATCAAAAACAAAAAGCGTGGATGGGGTCGAGGAGCAAGTTGTGGTTTCGGCAGAAGCGAAAAAATTAGTGCCTTTGGAAATAGAAAATAACCAAATTTTTAGTGGATATACAGTGAGTGATGATACAAAACAGCAGCTTAGAAAATCAGGAAAAGATTATTACCTTTCTAATTTTATAACGAGTTCGTTGATAAGAAAAGATGTCATTGACACCACGTATGAGAAAGAGGAGAGAATTGACTTATCTCTCCAAGTCGGCAATGAGAATTCGAGTCCAGAAGATTCGAATATTATCAATAAATTGTTTAAAGAACAAAACCATATCGCAGTGGAAGAATTCAACAAGCCAGTGGTGAAGAGCAATGAAGAAACAAGCAGAGATGATTTGAACTGCAGCGATGAAGACAGCAGTTCAACAGACGAAAACGAAGGCGATCAAGCGGTGAAATTTTCCGTACGCGATAATTATATCAGAAATATTGATTTCATAGACGACACGAATTTCGAGGTACAATATGAAAAAAATTCTGAAAATGGGCGAGATCAGTTTGCCAGTGAAGTGGAAATTAGAGATCAAGTTAATTTAGTGAAAAATGGCCATGGACCTCAAACGGATGAAGTGCATCGAAACCAAATTCAAATTCCAGAACACTTTGAAAATTTTAAAATCAAAACGAGAAGTTTTGATAATTTTGTTCCGAATGAGATAATAAATTTAAAGGATGAATTAAAATCGAGTATTTCAGTACGCGAAGTTCAAAATTCAAGCTTGAATGATAAGGCAAACATACGGACGCACAAAAATTTCGAGTTCAGACATCCACAGATGCATCCATCAACAACCATCCTACAGACGACTGATGAAAAAGACATTGAATATTCAAGAGGTCCTGTTTTACGAAAAATTGGGTACGAACTCCAAGAACATTCTCCGCCATCGTGGTTGATTCCATACATCGAACCAAAACTCCAAAAACGTTCTTTGCCATCAATCCGAAATGAAGAATCAAACACCCAAAAATATCATCAGTCACCGTCGGTTCTAAGTAATAAACGCAAAACTCAAAAACGTCCTCCGCAATCGCGGCTGTTCACAAAAAGATTGGAAAACTCTGGAACAGATCCTATACCGGGAGAGCTTAAAACCACTGTAAACCATCTTATACCGGGAGAGCTTAAAACCACTGTAAACCATCTTATACCGGGAGAGCTTAAAACCACTGTAAACCATCTTATACCGGGAGAGCTTAAAACCTCTGTAAACCATCCTATACCAGGAGAGTTTAAAACCACTGGAAACCATCCTATATCGGGTGAGCTTAAAACCACTGGAAACCATCCTATACCGGGAGAGCTTAAAACCACTGTAAACCATCTTATACCGGGAGAGCTTAAAACCACTGGAAACCATCCTATACCAGGAGAGCTTAAAACCACTGTAAACCATGCTATACCGGGAGAGCTTAAAACCCATGGAAACCATCCTATACCGGGAGAGCTTAAAACCGCTGGAAACCATCCTATACCAGGAGAGCTTAAAAACAAAGGCCGACGTTTTGGCTCTACAGGCCACAAGAAATTAGACCGAAGTAGGCGCTCCGCAATATATGGAGAACGTTCAGCGGAACACAGGCTATCAGATAAACTTTTCAGAGACTATAACAAAAACATCAGACCCGTGAGCTCGGCCCATGAACCTACCATCGTAACTTTTGAACTTTCGCTGCTCAACATACTCGACTTGGTGAGTGTTGTTAAGTTATACTTTCAATAAAGTTAAGAGATCGTAAGTTCATCAGCCAATCATTGATGGCCTTTCAAGCAAAATCCACAAATCATAGACAAGAAAATAGAGCGTAAGTACTTGCGTTCACTATACTTTAAAAAAAAGTTAAGAGATCGTAAGTTCATCAGCCAATCGTTGACGGCCTTTCAAGCAAAATCCACCAATCATAGACAAGGAAATAGAGCGTATAAGTACTTACGTTCACTTAACGAATTTTGAAAGTATAGGCCCTGGCGCACTGTTACAATTCCTTACAAAAGAACTTTAAAATGAACTCAAACTTGTTTATGAAATGTTCCATGGTGAGAATTGTTATTAACGAAGAACGTTCAAAACCGCCCCTTATTAGCCCGTTTGAAGGTAATACCATATTACAAATTTTCATTCGCTTTAAAGCACATTTCGAAGTTATTCTATAACGTAAGTCAACATAGTGAAAGAAATTTGTACAATATTTTTGAAGGAACGTCATTGAAACAAATTCATTCAAAATAAACTGATTTTTATTATAAAAATAAAATTGCATTACCTACTCACTCTTCAAATCATAGTATTGAATTTTTTCAATTTCTCATGAAATTATGTAATTTTATTTAATTAATGCACCTTAGAAATTATTCAAGATTTACAGAATATTCGACTTCGCATTTTGCTGATTAGGGCAGAATCGAGATCAGTTTCCTTTGATCAAAGAATCTCTTAAATTGATTCAAACCACACAATTCAACTTAGACATTCATCGTGCAACTTATCGTAATTTCTATTCTAAATAAAATCAATTCTAAATTAATTTTAATAAATTAATTCCAAAATTCGATTAATTCTAAATAAATCAGGTAATCGAACATAATAATGTGATAACGTTTAACAGCAAACGCGGGATCGCAAGCTACAGATCAACAGCGAGATGATTATGTTGTGGTGGGACTGGCACCTCAAGTGGAACCCCGCAGAGTTCGGAGGCGTCAAGGAGTTGAGGGTTCCTTACACTAGCGTCTGGTACCCTGACATTATCCTCTACAACACGTGAGATTATGTACTCGAATTGTACAATTAAATTAAAATTTTTTATGTAGATGGAATATATATATGCCCTTTCTAGAGAGAGATAAAAATTAAGTGAAATAAGAAGGAGTGAAATATTCTTGATAATATTTATTTTTTAAAAAGTAAGCCACATATTTAAAAGTAAGCCCAAAAGTTGCATGTCACAAAGCAAACTATGATAGAAAAGTATGCCCTATATTTCAAAGTAAGCCCAAAAGTTGCATGTCACAAAGCAAACTATGATAGAAAATTATGCCACATATTTAAAAGTAAGCCCAAAAGTTGCATGTCATAAAACAAACAATAAAATTACTCCCACATATCACGACTTACACCAATTTTTGCTCTCCGCACCTAGAGCTGAATCAGACTACGAATCATCAATCCTAAACACGTACGTCATCATCGACTACACGGGTCGGGTGGAGCTAGTGAGCCACGCGCTGTTGTCTTCCATCTGTGACGTCCAAGTCGACTACTTCCCCTTCGACCAGCAGGAGTGTAGACTGCGTTTCGCATCTTGGACTTACGACATCGCGGGCGTAGGCATTATTGTTAATTATTGTTATCTCAATTACGCATAAATATCAGCCAGGAAGAGTATTTTAGTAAATGGAATGAGTTAGGCTGTTAAAAATGTCGTCCATCTGTGATGTCCAAGTCGACTACTTTCCCTTCGACCAGCTGGGGCCGTATTATCAAAACTTCGTAACTTTTTGTACTTCCGACACAAATGTTACGTGTTACGTAAGTACACCCTAATTTTGGCATTATCAAAACATTCGTACGTAAGACTTAGCTAAAAGCGTACTATCAAAATCATCTGGCCAACTGACCAATCAGAGGCTGGGGATTTGTTTACATTCTGGGAACTTCGATGGCGGGAATCGATGCCTGCGATGGTATCGACTATTGAATGCTGTCTGTCGGTATTGAGTCGGTATTGCTCGTTGTTGGCCCAGAAAAAGCCGTTCTAAAATAGTTGTGAACTCTTTTTAATAAACAGCGTGAGTTGAAGAAGAAATCTGTGTACGGAGCTAAAAATTATGGTTTGCAAAGATATAAAGTACCGACTAGAAGGAATGAATGATGAGAGTTGGGCGCGAAAACTTTGATTTCGCGCTTGTAAAATATAACGTAATATGCATTTGCTTGTAAAATGTAACGTAAAAGGAAAACAAAATCAGTTTCTGGTATTAACTCAATTGAATTTTTTCCAATAGCACTGTTTAGCACGATCACATATTTTAATCGTGCAAATGTTGCACGATCAAGTAGTGGAGATATCACAAGTAGAGCCATCATTCTATGCGTGTATAATCCGCGCTGTCGGATTATTCACAAAATTCTATCACAAGTCAAGGTGTTGCTACTTGCTAGTAAATCAATAGTTTCCTATTGCTTCAGCAGACACTCTAAACTTGCGCGGAACTCCACTTACGACATCTCCGAGCAGGCGTACAGTTACGTTACGTATCTTCCCGCGCAAATGTTTCGATAATACCACCGCTAGAGTTACCTCATCTAGTCAGCACTGACGCCACTCGTAAGTCCATTTTGCGTACTTGCGAAGTTTTGATAATACGGCCCCTGGAGTGTAGACTGCGTTTCGCATCTTGGACTTACGACATCGCGGGCGTAGGCATTTTTGTTATATTATTGTTATATTATTGTTATATTATTGTTATAATATTGTTATATTATTGTTATAATATTGTTATATTATTGTTATATTATTGTTATCTCAATTACGCATAAATATCAGCCAGGAGGAGTATTATAGTAAAAGTAATAAATAAGGCAGTTAAAATGAAGGCAAAGAGACAAAATTAAACACATGAGATTTGTACGTTTGGTGGTGATATGGTGGTGATAGGCACCACCATGAAAGCATTATTGTTATCCCAATTACATATAAATATCAGCCAGGAAGAGTATATTAGTAAAAAGGTAATAAGTTAGACAGTTAATGAAGGCCAACAGGCATAATTAAACGTATAAGATTTATACATTTGCTACAATAATAGTAAGTATTAATTCGTACATACGTTCCATGACCATGTGATCAATTTTGTCTTAGTATGCTTATCACCACCAATGCTAATCACTACCATCGTAAACGTGATTAGCAATATAATTATTAATTTAATTTAGCAAAGTAATTATCGCCAACAGATCGTTCTGAAAGGTGGTACCGCCAGGATTGGACACTACACACAGAATCCAGAATTTAATCTGGAGAACTTCTGGATAGAAATGTCCGAGCAATACAACGAGTGTTGTCCGAAGCCCTTCTCCAGTGAGTCCAATGTAAAATTAACCCATATATTGAGGACTAGTACGGGTCATAACGTTTGAATTTTATATAGGGTACATATATATAGGGTATTATATAATATATAAATATATTATATATATATAATATATATTTATATATTTTTATATAGGGTATATTGTATCGCCGTCTGCATGTGTGTAAATATTTGCATCATATAAGGCAGTCATGCATGCTTAGCTCTGAATGCATTGTTCATGAGGCCTATTATCTTTCATGTACAATATTTTTGATTGACCCTCTCATTTCAACACATAATATATCTTTCTTTCTTTGCCGCAGCAATCGACTACTACATTCAAATTCAGCGCAGGACGAAATTTGGCATGTTTTTCTACATCATGCCAGGCATCTTGATCAACGTGTGTGGTGAGCGAAACATAACTTCGCAAGGGTATTCAATTTTTCCAGATAACGTAAATTGTTTTTTATCCATCATTATTGAAAGTAATTCTATTTATTGTTAGCTCGTCCATAATTATTGTTAATATTCCTGCCATATCGCCTCCGTTTTTGGCCATTAGAACATGAATGTTCAATTTTCTTAAAATTATATTTTTGTGTCATTATTGCGTATTAATGGTCATAAATACCCATCATAAAAACTGTTACCTAAATTAAGCCGAAACATTCACACTTGGATTCAAAATGACTGAGATTTGCTGGCTGCTTGAGGATTTGAGGTATTAGGGGCACATTGTGTGTACCCAAATATCGATTTACGGAGCTGACATCATACATATCATATATGTATATCGAGGTCATATACCGCCACATCGCCTCGACGTTATAAAGCAATTCTGCCATTATGAAAGAATTAATCATAATAAATAAAAATTTGGTTAAACCAATGACGATTAACGTGGGTTCTCGGAAGAAATAATCTCAATAAAACTTTGATTAAACCAATGACGATTACCGTGGGTTCTCAAAAGAAATAATCTTAATAAAACTGTGATTAATCAAATGACGATTAACGTGGGTTCTCGAAAGAATTAATCTTAATAAAACTGTGATTAAACCAATGACGATTAACGTGGGTTCTCGAAAGAATTAATCTTAATAAAACTTTAATTAAACCAATGACGATTAACGTGGGTTCTCGAAAGAAATAATCTTAATAAAACTTTAATTAATCCAATGACGATTAACGTGGGTTCTCGAAAGAATTAATCTTAATAAAACTTTAATTAATCCAATGACGATTAACGTGGGTTCTCGAAAGAATTAATCTTAATAAAACTGTGATTAAACCAATAACGATTAACTTGTGTTCTCACAGCGGTGATGGTTTTCTCGTTGCCCGCCGAGAGCGGCGAGAAGGTTGGGCTCAGCATCAACTCTCTGATCGCCATGATTGTCTTCCTCATGGCCATGACCGAGAAAATTCCCCCGACATCTCGCATACCTCTCGCTGGTGAGGCAGATTTTTGCAACGATTTAAACTGACCACAAAGTCCCACAAAGTACCATTTAAACTAACCACAAATTCCCATTTAAACTAACCACAAAGTCCCATTTAAACTAACCACAAAGTCCCACAAAGTCCCATTTAAACTAACCACAAAGTCCCACAAAGTCCCATTTAAACTAAGCACAAAGTCCCACAAAGTCACATTTAAACTAATCACAAAGTCCCACAAAGTCCCATTTAAACTAAGCACAAAGTCCCACAAAGTCACATTTAAACTAACCACAAAGTCCCACAAAGTCCCATTTAAACTAAGCACAAAGTCCCACAAAGTCACATTTAAACTAATCACAAAGTCCCACAAAGTCCCATTTAAACTAAGCACAAAGTCCCACAAAGTCACATTTAAACTAACCACCAAGTCCCACAAAGTCCCATTTAAACTAACAACAAGGTCCCACAAAGTCACATTTAAACTAGCCACAAAGTCCCTCAAAGTCCCATTTAAACTAACCACAAAGTCCCATTTAAACTAAGCACAAAGTCCCACAAAGTCACATTTAAACTAACCACAAAGTCCAACAAAGTCACATTTAAACTAACCACAAAGTCCCATAAAGTCCCATTTAAACTAACCAAAAAGGCCCACTAAGTCCAATTTAAACTAATCACAATGTCCCATAAATTATAAAATAATTGACGAAATCTACATGTCATCGCCTTGAAATTAAACATGTTGCTGAATAATGCAATTCAGAAGAATATTCGACAAATTTTACTGAAAGTTTAATGAATTTGCTACAAACGAACTTCGAGAACTTCTGCTAAAAAAATCTTTCTTATCTCTCCGTGCATTAATATACAAGAACGTATATCCTTATTTAATATATGCAATATTCAAAAATCTCGTTGGGTAATTAACGAGTGAAAATAAGACGTATAATGTAGTAAGACGTATAATGTACTAAGACGTATAATGCACTAAGACGTATGTTGCACTAAGACGTATAATGTACTAAGACGTATAATGCACTAAGACGTATAATGTACTAAGACGTGTGATGCACTAAGACGTATAATGTACTAAGACGTATAATGTACTAAGACGTAT